CACAGTCTAGCGAGTTTCACACTCTGGAGCAGAGCGGCAGTCCACCTGTCACTCAAGTGGCCACGCCCTTAGTTATGCATAACTTTAAGGCTTAATATAATTTAAACAGATGAGTTATAAAAAAATTCACCCGCCTCACAGTTGTCATGAAGGGCAAAATTACCTATATAGACCAAAAGCACTTTTTGTACCAGGCTGTAAACATATTTTTTTCTGCTGTAAAGTTGGCCGTTTTAACATGGGGAGTCTATGGGACTGACTCCCTTCTGGAGACAGCCTCTAGCGGTCAGTCGATGAATTGCAGTTTTAGTCACTTCCATATTGGCTTCAAGTGAGAGACCAGGAGGTTGCCGCTTGGTTTCATCTGAGTTCTATTACTGGGGCCCAGCCAGTTTTGACCACAGTTTCCATGTAGGCTCCATATCGGTTTGTTCAATTCAATTCAAGTTCATGTATAGAGCTTTTCATGATACAAATCGTTGCAAAGCAACTTTACAGAAAATTTAATTTTCCACATTATATTTAGTAGTAGCTTATCAGTGGAGACTCTCAAATTGATGTCCATATGGCAGAAATGTACAGTAAAGATCATGCAGTTAGTTAATGACATGTAATCAAACAGATGGTGAACACTATTAACACCAATGATTATATGGTAATATATTTGGTAGGTTTGTATGTTATTTGAGGGTTGGCATCATCTGAGGTCCTCTGAGGGGTTGGCATCATCTCTTCTCAGGTGTTCGTCATCTCAGATCTTCGTAAGGGTTGGATCCACACTGAAGCTTCTGTAATTCCTAGCTACCTTGAGATGACAATCCCGTGGCAGAAACGGAGAAACAAATAGAGACAACATTAGCATAGCTGCTGTTCAACCCAAGCAAAAGAATGATTATGTGCATTTGATCAGATATAACTAAAGTACAAGGTTGTGAGATATATTATGTGAATGCTTGGCTAAAGAAATGTGTCTTTAATCTAAATTTAAAAAGAGAGTGTGTTTCTGAACCCGGAACGTTATCAGGAAGGCTATTCCAGAGTTTGGGAGCCAAATGTGAAAAAGCTCTACCTCCTTTAGTGGACTTTGCTATCAGAGGTACTACCAAGAGTCCAGAGTTTTGTGACCTTAGGGAGCGGGATAGATTGTAGCGTGATAGAAGCCTAGTTAGAGACGCAGGAGCTAAACCATTAATGGCCTTGTAAGTAGTAATATTTTGTGTCTGAACTGTTGCTTGTTTATTGAAGATGCAGGACAACCACCTAGCAGTGTATTACAATAGTCCAGTCTAGAGGTCATGAATGCATGAACTAGCTTTTCTGCATCAGAAACCGGTAGCATGTTCCGTAGCTTGGCAATGTTTCGAAGATGGAAGAATGCTGTTTTTGTAACATGGGAAATATGGTTTTCAAAAGACAAATTCCTGTCTAATATAACACCCACATTTTTTGACTGTAGAGGAAGTATCAGTACATCCGTCTAGTTGCAAATTGTAATCTAAGAGATTCTGTGTACTGTTTTTTTGGTCCAATAAGTTATATAGTCTTAAACTAATTTAATAGGAGAAAATTATTGGTCATTGGTCATAAATTGGTCTTTTACATTTTCAACACACTCTGTTATCTTAGATAATTTAGAAGTTTAATCTGGTCTTGTTGAAATATATAGTTGAGTATCATCAGCATAACAATGAAAACTAATCCTGTATTTGATAATAATATTACCAAGGGGCAACATGTATATTGAAAATAGCAGAGGGCCTAAGACAGATCCTTGTGGCACTCCATACTTTACTGGCATTAATTGAGATGATTCCCTGTTTTAAATAGGCAAAGTGATAACGATTGGATTGGTAGGATCTACACCATCTTAGGGTGTTTTCAGACCTGTAGATCGTTTGCTTTGTTCCAAAACAGGGACTTCATTTGTTACAATGTTGCATTTTCTTCTTGGTTCGGTTCGCTTTCACAAGGCAACATTGCAAAGCTTCCAAACTGGGTTTATGCAGGTCACATGTGAGTAAAGCTGTCCTCTTATTGGTCAGAGTTCACATGTTTACATTCCTCTGCATCATTCATCAAAATGGATTGACAAGTTCAC